TTTGGAATCAGCACCCCAAAATTACCTTGAAACCGTTGGAATACCTTATGCCAGAAAAAGTGTGTTGATCAGTGTTATTGGTCTTCAAAGCCGATAGGCTGAAGGGGTAAAACATATTTTATATATGTCACACAAAGCTGAGTTTTGCGAGGGTTTTCTTGCGGTGCTCCGGGTTCCTTCCACATGTAAAACGGTCATTAATATATCTAGAGGACTGCAGAACTTGGGGGCTGGAATTTGGTACCTGCTCACTGCCTGGCTGCTGACTGTCCTGCTTTATCTGTGGTGCTCGCTAGCAGCACTTTCTCCTACAGTCTGTTAAGGCTAGACGGGAGATCTTTGTATTTGTTGTGTATACAAGTGCAAACTAAAATCAGTCTAAAGAGGAAGTGTGTGTGAAATGTGTGTGTGTGTGAAATGTGTGTGTGTGTGAAATGTGTGTGTGTGTGAAATGTGTGTGTGTGAAATGTGTGTGTGTGTGAAATGTGTGTTTGTGGCTGTGTCCGTGTGTTCGACTTTGCAACGCGTGTGTCTTTGTGCGTGGGTGCACAGCGCTAGGAACCGAGTACATGAGTTTGATTTCCCAGCCACGGCTCACATCAGTGGTGAATCACGTTGGCATTGTGTCCTGTGGGGAGCGACAGTGCAGTGGTTAGCGTACTGCGCTAACAAAACCGGCAACCAAAATCGGTGACATATCGAGAACTGATCTTGGGCCATCTCGAGGTTGATTCAGCCTGAAATGAGCAGCTGGTGTCACGTGTGAACATCTCCACTGGGGAGACAAAGGCGGCCACCTTTGTGTGCTATGCTCACCTTAATAGTTGCTCGCAAAGAGCACTTGCCACAACAGTATGCTAAAGACTATATAGAGGGTCTTTGTATTTGTCATTGTATCTGTATGTATACTTCATTACGTGTGTTCGCTGTATGTGTGCATATTATTACGTCTATATACAGTATGTCTAAATAAAGATTCCGATCTAATGTAATTCCTCAATTATACAATCAACCCTACTGTATCGTGACGTGTTTTGGAATGACACGTATGCTAATCTAACCGATTTCTTTTCAGGAAGTTAAACATTTTCCTCTCAGGCAATTCAAATGGCCTTTCCATAAACACAAATACTGAAACCTGCAGAGTTCTGGGACCAGGGTTTGAGCCCTGGGTCTGAGTGTCTATCCGTCTCTCAGGAGATTAGAAATGCCAATTCCTTTCTACAATTCCAAGCTTTAATCCTATGACAACCTGGGTTTGAGTCCTAGTTCTGGGTGTATCTCAGGAATTTCAGAATGGCAAATTGATTTCCACAATTATGGAGCTTGAACCTGAGGATTACAGTTTGTGTCTCTCGGCCTCTGTATCTGAGGAGGTTCATAATGGTCATTTCTTTCTATAATTTTCAGCCTCGAATGTGTCTAAATGTTGAGCCTTAGGTCCTGGTTTTCCCTCTCTCAGCATGTTCACAATGGCCACGTAATTCCACACTTTTCAGTCTGGAAATTGTGAATTCCTAGTTTTGAACCCTTGGAATGTGTCTCTCTCAGCGTTTCTCATGGAGTTCATAATGGCCATGTCAGAGACAATGAGATCCATAATGGCCAGTTCCTTCCAGAATTCAAAGAACTGCCCTGTGCTGAGGTCGAGATTGACACAGCGCTGTCGTTTCACCATGCCCGTTGTGGCTCAGTGTGTTCATGGGAGAGATATGCTTGCGTTACCCTTCGTGTTTGTGATAACATGTTGCAACTTCTAAGTTCCTTAATATGTGTGGAGACACAGATGTATAACATGTGTTTGCACGCTGTCTGTGAGTTGTGAAATATGTCTACGTACGCAGAATGCTTCAGTTCAGCCAAATATGTGAATCGATCTTGGGCCTCCGCCTATGAGTATCTGGTAAAGTGTGTAAACATCAGAACTGGGGGAAACAAAGGCGGTCCAGGCATGGTGCTGACCACCCACCCTACCATGTGCAGTGACGGCCTTCGTTGGTTATCGCTCGCAGCACTTGCCTCTGCAATCTGTCGAAGGCTTTCGGGGGGATCTTTGTGTTTATATGTCTCCATATAATATCAAGATCATTCGAGGGTCAGCACATCTGACAGTTGTGTGACACGTGCAAGAGATAACACAGGAAGCAGGATATGTCCGCTGTGTAACACAAAACAAAACAAACATCCCCCGTTTAGCCCGAAACAGACTGCTGGGGCAAGTGCTGTTCGCGAGCACCTATGCAGGCCGACACTGTACACAACGGAATGGGTGGCCAGCACCACACCCGACCGCCTTTGTCTTCCCAGTAGCGATATTTTTACACACCGCACCAGGTACTCATTAGAGGCTGAGTCGACCTAGGGGAGGCCCATGACCGGTTCAGATAATCGTCACTGGTGTTGGCCGTGAGTGGCAATTGAACTCGGGTCACCGGGTTCGTAGTGCAGCGCTCTAGCCTCTACACTACCGCTCCCCACACGAAGACATACACACATGCATAAATACACACAGATTAACAAATACAAACTTCACAAAATATTCTAGATTTGAAGCTTTTGTGACTGCAAGGATTCATACTATTTGGTTGTTTCGATAAAGTCACGTTGGTAAAAAATAAAATAAATGAAATTTATCTTCTTGGTTCTTTCGGTAAAGTCACGTAGAAGGGAAGTAATAAAATAATAAAAATAAAACATAATAAAATAATTCTCACGACGTTTCGGCCATAACGCAAGCAGCCGTCCTCAGATGAAGACCAGGTCTGTCGGGAAGACAGCTTGCGTTGTGTTTGTTGAAGGGCTATGAAAGCTGAACAATTATACAAATGCTGTATAGTCAAACCCATGCTTATAACGAGGACAATTCGAAAACCATTAACTAAAAATGTATTTTGAGTCACATTAATTACCGTCCGGATGTTGATTTGGGTTCACTCTGAGATGTTTTCTTGTTCATGTTTTTGTTTGTTGCGGTTGCACCCGATTCAAGAGCCGAATGGCTCACAGGGCTACACCTAATACATGAAACTGAAGAGGGCAGAGTCTGCATAGAGCTCTACAATGTTGACAATGTTGCACAGAGCTCTACAATGCTGTAAGTGGCACGCCGAGCACCACGGAATAGACAAAATCACTGCCAATCAGTGCACCGACTAATTGCCCCCCCCGTTGAGTGGCATGCTAGGGTCACTCCATTGCTGGACTATTCGTCCATCATCCCGATTTGGTGATGCTGCTGCTGCTGCATTGGATGTCACAAATAACAACAACAACACTCAACACCTTCGTCAATACAACTGTGGCCTTCAAAGTAAAACTAATGTATAATAGGACACGTTCAGGGCAATGAACCTTCTTCATGTCACATACAATGTGTACTCTCTCTACATCATATTGCCCTCTCTGGGCAAGTGTTACTGACGCCCGTGCTGGGCTTTGTGCTGCTGTATTTGACCATACTTCACCACGTTGATCAGGGCATCGAAGCGAGAACATAGAAGTATACAGTACAACAATGGATTTGTCTACATCATTCTGTACCACGACACAAAGTGAAATGCCCCCCCCCCCCCTGTTTCGCCTTCACAGACTGTGGGGGGCAGGTGCTGTTAGCGAGTAGCAGCACCTATGAAGGGTTGGGGTGGACAGCACCACGCCCGACCGCCTTTGTCTCCCCAGTGGCGATGTTTACACACATCGCAATAGGTACTCAATTGAGGCTGAGTCGACCTAGGGGAAGCCCAGAACCGGTTTAGATAATCTTCACTGCAAATACAAAGATCCCCCGTATAGTCTTGGCAGACTGCTGGGGCAAGTGCTGTTAGCGAGGAGCGCCTATGACCAGCATCACGCCCGACCGCCTTTGTCTCCCGAGCGGCGAGATGTTTACACACCGCACCAGGTACTCGTTTGAGGCTGAGTCGACCTACTTCTCCACAATACACACACCCACACGTGCGTACAAAAACAACACGTAACACGGCTCTACAGGGTACAAGCAGGCAAGTTGTCATGTTGACAAACATTGCATCGGTTTCATCCCTCGCCCGCCGACTGGATCAACAGTGGCAGCTTAATCATTAAACAGCGGTGGCGTGGTGGAGTTGGGGTGGGTGGGTGAGTGGGTGAGTAGGTGGGTGAGTGGGTGGGTGAGTGGGTGAGTAGGTGGGTGAGTGGGTGAGTGAGTGGGTAGGTGAGTAGGTGGGTGAGTAGTGGTGAGTAGTGTAGTAGTGGTGAGTAGTGGTGAGTGGTGGTGAGTAGTAGTAGTACTGTAGTGTAATGGTGAGTAGTGGTGAGTAGTGTAGTACTGGTGAGTAGTGTAGTGGTGAGTAGTAGTCGTAGTGGTGAGTAGTAGTGGTACTGGTGAGTAGTGGTGAGTAGTGTAGTAGTAGTGAGTAGTGGTGAATAGTAGTGGTACTGGTGAGTAGTGTAGTAGTGGTAAGTAGTAGTGAGTAGTGTAGTGGTGAGTGTATAGTAGTGAGTAGTGTAGTGGTGAGTAGTGGTGAGTAGTAGTGAGTAATGGTGAGTGGTGGTGAGTAGTAGTGTAGTGGTGAGTAGTGGTTAGTAGTGTAGTGGTGAGTAGTAGTGTAGTGAGTAGTAGTGGTGAGTAGTGTAGTGGTGAGTAGTAGTGGTGAGTGTATAGTGGTGAGTAGTGTAGTGGTGAGTAGTAGTGAGTAATGGTGAGTGGTGGTGAGTAGTAGTGTAGTGGTGAGTAGTGTAGTGGTGAGTGTATAGTAGTGAGTAGTGTAGTGGTAGTGGTGAGTAGTGTAGTAGTAGTGTAGTACTGGTGAGTAGTGTAGTGAGTAGTGTAGTGAGTAGTGAGTACTGGTGAGTAGTGTAGTGGTAGTAGTGTAGTACTGGTGAGTAGTGTAGTGGTAGTAGTGTAGTACTGGTGAGTAATGTAGTGTGGTGAGTAATGTAGTGTGGTGAGTAATGTAGTGTAGTGAGTAATGTAGTGTAGTGGTAGTGTAGTGAGTAGTGTAGTGTAAGTGAGTTCCTACCCGCGCCTTCTCTGCTGGGCTGCGCGGACTCGCGATGCCCGTGGCCCACGTGGTGCGTGGCGTCACGTGTGCCAGGCGCACCTAGCCTGGCACAAGCACCGTGGTGACGGCCCCGCCACTTGATGGCGAACGCCGGTTGTTGTTGTATCTATATATTTATGTGTTTGTATATCTGCGAGCCAATGCGTATATGTATCTAAGGGTGTTATGTACGTGTGTGTACATGAATGTCTATATGTATGATTAAGTGTACGTGTATGTGTGTCGATATGGATGTGTGCATATATGTCCTCGTATATGTGTGTCAGCTTGTATATATGTGTGTCTGCGTAGCTGCTGTTGTCGGTATATGCGTGTCTCAAAGCGTATACACGATATGTCTGAGCGTCTGCTCGTGTACGTACGTAGTACAACACAAATGTGTAAGCCTCTAAGTATATATATGTAGATGTAGCAGTAGTAGTACACGCAGTACGCTCTGTGTGTGTCTCCCTCTCTGGCTCCCTGCGCACTCTGATGATCATCATCTTACAGAACGCCTCTCGGGGTCTGGGGCCGACGGGCAGGGCTCCCCCCCCCCCGTGTCCCCTTCCTCTTTACACTTTTTTTTAGTAAAAAGCGAAAGATTGATACTGGTAGGAACCCACTGGTTCCACCAGCCCACACGGGATTATTGTGTCCGTCCGTCGTGCAGGTAGGGGCTGGGTGGGGCTGGGTGGGGAGGGTGTGGATGGGCTGGGTGGGGAGGGTGGGGCTGGGTGGGGGGTGGGAGGGGTGGGGTTGGGTTGGGTGGGGAGGGGCTGGGTGGGGAGGGGCTGGGTGGGGAGGGTGGGGCTAGGTGGGGAGGGTGGGGAGGGGCTGGGTGGGGAGGGAGGGGCTGGATGGGGAGGGTGGGGCTGGGTGGGGGGTGGGAGGGGTGGGGCTGGGAGGGGAAGGGGCTGGTCACCCCGTGGTGCCCTTATAAAAGTCAACGTTTAACCTACTCACGCCGGCTTGTGCCCGCCCTCACAGTCGGCCATATTTGCGGAATACACCACGCCGCCGTTGACCCTGGCCATTGACCGAGCAACCCAACGTTGCTACCATATTCGACACATTCTGGTCGAGTCTGGTGCCGAGGCTTTTGAGATGAGTAGAAAACTGAATCATTGAATATTCCTCTCAAATGTCCATGTAACATTTATTTGCCTGCGTCCATCTGTTACCGCCTCTCGATAACATTTCCCTTTAACCGGTAGCTAATTAAAAGTCCGCAACACTTTTAGAGAGAATTATTTTGCCCCCGCCCACCACATCCTCATCATCATCGCTTTTTGCCCTCTTGTTGGAATTTTTTTGTTTGTCCTCATAGGATTGCAGGAATGTCGGGTACAATAATATAGCTTTATGATGGATGTCAGTTTTGACAGATATCTGCTTCATCTCTTGACCGCCAACTGGATCAATAGTGCAACGTACTCTAGTGGGAGTGCCTTACACATCCTGTATCATTCCGAGTGCAAATCCTGCCGAGTAGCAACATTCCGGAAAATATCAAGTTAGAAAGGAAGCTCTGACTACAACAAACTCCTTCTATCAGTAACGTTCAACAACAACAAAACTCAACACATGTGCCAACAAGACTGTGACCTTAAAATGAAGAACATTTTTACTGGTGACGTTTTGAGCAATGGATCTTCTTCATAGCACACGGAGAGAGGCAAGAAAAATAAAGTGGATTATAGGAGTTGGTGGCTGACCTTGTACACCATGGGGCCTGCTGAGAACTACATGTACATAATATTTTCTGATGACCAGTTTTAAAATTGGCTTATGAATAGTTACCTAATAACTGTTTTAGTGACAGACCCTTTAATAAATAAAAAGTGTGACATACTTTTCTACGAAAAAATGTTTTTAGCGATAATATTCAGATTATGGTTGCGAACTGTGCTGGTTTCCCCAGGATGTCCTGTTTTTTAAATAATTGTCCTGGGAAATCTGAGTCTCCCCAGGATATTAAAAATTAAAAGTCCCGGGTTCTGTCATTTGCATGTAGTTCTCCCCTCCTCCAGTATTGTGAGATATTCTCCCTATAATATGTCCCGATTGAGATATTTGTTTTACCTCAGAAGTGGCAACCCTGATCCAGAGAGAGTCCTTATTTGATCCCGACGAGAGCACATTGTCACTATGAATGTATCTGTCAAGGCAGGGTTGAGATATTTCGATCATGTTTCTATGTCGTCGTCTTGAACACTGGACAGCAGCTTTCAATCCTCACCTATTTTGAATAAAATAATAAAATAAAACAATTAAATTCTCACCACGTTTCGATTGCAACACAAGCAATATTTTAAAGGCCCCCACCTCTATCGCCTTGCACTGATATTGGCTCTGCACCTCGGTCATTGCCATGTATGTCTATGACATATTGCGAGCCTTATCAATTGCACTATTATATCAGGAGTGGGAGACACTTGGGGCTGTGGGCTATATGCGACCCAATTTCACACTGCCCATCCCGCCCACATCAGTCGTACCGCTTCGCAACGGCCCACACAATATTTAGCTATCACCAGAAGCATCTTAGGTGCACTAATCGGGCACTAAAGGCGGATATTTTTGATCTGGCAACAGCACTGTGTTTTTAAATGTGTACGTTCGCAGCCAATACTGCCACTTTAAGGGGCATCTTGCAGTGACAGTAGTGACTAGGGTATGTCTGTGTTAGTGTGTGGCCCATAAAAGGAATTTAAGAGTCCTTATTCGGCCCTCAGTAAGTAAAATGCTCCCCACCTCTGATTTATAAACGTAACTCAAATTCAGACTGTGACTTTATTTCAGCTGGTAAGGCCCAGTTAGCTGGGAAGGCCCATTTAACTGCAACCACCGTCGGCAGTGGTGGCAGTTCAAGACCAGTTCAGGGTCGGAATGCACATATTAACAAGAGCACAAACTAAAATTATTTACATGAAACCCATACCAAGACTGACTGCAAAGAGGATAATAAATAGTGCTTATATATAAATCAAAAACGGTCAGACGTTTGTAAATAAACCATATATACAGCCTCAGACATAATGAAGTTCAGTTTAAAGCATTCACAATTCTGGTTGGCTACGTACGGTGCGAAAGAAGTTTAATGTACATAAAAAATACGAGAGTCCTGTATTTAATCCCAATGAGAGTACATTATTATTATTATCTTTTTCAAGTTCAAGTTCATGTATTAGGTATAGACCTTTGAGCCATTCGGCTCTTGAATCGGGTGCAACCGCAACAAACAACAAACAAAAACATGAATAAGAAAACATCTTAAAGTGAATATGTGACTAACTGACTAAGGGAGGGTTAAGAGCTCTGCTTGCCAAATTTCGAATATCTGTAATAGCTTTGTCTACTATTGTCTGGAGCACCTTTCCCCCATCCAACCGTGCTATCGACTTCCTGCCTCCCCCCCCCCCCCCCGTTAAATACAACCTCAACATCTTCATTTTTTCCTTTATAATATGACTGTCTATTTCTCTCTATGAATTAAATATGCCCACTGTTTCTGTTTCTGCATTTCACATTGTATTGTATTGACTCTATCACACACAGAAGTCCCGAAGACTCACAGAGGTGGCCCTTATACTCACATAGAGCACAATATGCCCACACGGGGAACCATAGACTCATATGGAGACCTATGCCTGACTGGCTGTACACCATAAAGGTGTCCTTTGTTTCAGTACAGCGTCTTGAGAAGTGGACGCATTTAAGACGGCTAGACAAATCTGCATTGGACTGTGCAGCATCTCGCCGTAGCAATACAAATACAAATTTGCTTAAAGATCAGTGCATATTACACACTGTGACATGTGGATCAGAAATACAGACTTTGACCAAGGAAATGCTGCAAATAGCGCAATGAGATAAGGCCAGGCGCGTGCTTGGAATTACACTGAAAGACAGAAAGAGTAGCACGTGTATGAGAGAACATACACAGGCTAGAGACATATTTACTGGTAGGAACGCACTGGTTCCACCAGCCCACAGGGGATTATTGTGTCCGTCCGTCGTGCAGGGATGGGCTGCGTGGGGAGGGGCTGGTCACCCCGTGGTGCCCTTATAAAACTCAACGTTTAACCTACTCAAGCCGGCTTGTGCCCGCCCTCACAGTCGGGCATATTTGTGGAATACACCACGCCGCCATTGATCCTGGCCATTGACCGAGCAACCCAACGTTCCTACCAGCTCCCTCCGCAGGAATGTGTTGACTCAAGAAACGTATATGGGCTTTGGCAAGACAAGTCGCTGGAAGGGGGTGTCTGTGAGTGGTCGTAATGCGCCTGCGATGACGTCCACCACGGATCACGAGCAATGAAATCAGCTCGTGTAAGGAGCTGGATGGAGCATTGTCGAATTACTCCAGAGCGTTCGAGTGCTCCTTGAAGAAGCTTTAAATAATTAATTTGCCAAAAATGTGTGGGAGGACGCGGGGCACAACATAGGTGTGTCGTAGCTACTAAATAAGAGATGACAGAACAGCTGATTTTCGTTGAGTCATTATCATATCAGCCATGATAATGACAAAGATACGGGACTGTATTTCAGACTCTGTTTTCTCGACAGACCTGTTCTCCACCTGAAGGACGGCTGCTTGCGTTGTGGCCGAAACGTCGTGAGAATTATTTTATTATGTTTTATTTTTATTATTTTATTATTTCCATTCTACGTGACTTTACCGAAAGAACCAAGAAGATGAATCCCTGCCGTCACGAAACCTTTAAATCGAAAAATGGGACTGTATTTGTTAGATGAAAGTCTCCTTCTGCTGTCGTCATCTGAAGGAGACTAATTTATTTGCTCCATCTCAGGGTGGAAACTGAACTTGTCATGCTGCGTGTAAGTCGATCACATTGGCTCTCATGTATTTGGTGAAGAGGACCCCAATGCAGTTCTTCAGGAAGTGTAGTAGGATTCTTTGTTGAATAATGCACCAGGCCTGAGTGCTTGTGAAACGCTCGTATACAATTATAGATGTGCACGTTCTTACACAACTGGGGGAAACAGAGGTGCGGTTAGGCCCTGCCTGTACACCACCCTCAGCGGGAATTTAAAGGGCGCAGATAGTTTGACATGAAATAATTTAACACGAAGTTAACATATTATTCGTTCTTTCGGTAAAGTCACGGAGAAGGGAAATAAAAAAAGAAAAAATTTCGAATTCTCTGAAAATTTTTTTGCTGTGGTTTCTTCCTGTGGTTTTCACACCTGATGATGATTGCTTGTGTTGCAATCGAAACGTGGTGAGAATTTAATTGTTTTATTTTATTATTTTATTATTTCCCTTCTACGTGACTTTACCGAAAGAACCAAGAAGATGAATCTCTGCAGTCGCGAAAGCTTTAAATCGAAAAAAACGAAGTGAACATTAAATTGTCTGGTGATGCTTCTTCGTGCACAATCACAATTTGTGTTTACATCCTTAAATGTTAAAAGTCGTTTGCGACATTTTGGGCAATGGCACCATTATATTTGCTGGAACGGGCTATTGCCTGAAACGTCGCCTCTTATATATTTCTATTTTGAAGGTCACAGTGTGCTCTTGACAAATGTGTTGAAATTATTTGTTTGTTTTATACTTTAGAATTGCCCAACATTACGAGGAAACCTCGCAGTGAGCTTAAAACTCAAGAAGCGGAGTTTGTCGTCAACAAACCCACTCTAATTACACCGACATCGACTGCTTTATTCATAGCTGTTAGCCCCTGATCAAAATTCGATTGAAAGCTTCCGTGACTGCAGGGATTCATCTTCTTGGTTCTTTCGGTAAAGTCACGTAGAATGGAAATAATAAAATAAAAAAAGGTATTATTTTTATTATTTTATTATTTCCATTCTACGTGATTTTACCGAAAGAACCAAGAAGATGAGCCCCTGATCAGTGCCCTACATTCTTACAGACCAATTCAGACCTCATTGCTCACCACGTGCCCCTTATACCTCTCAACGTTCATCCTACAAAGTCCCACCACAAGGGGAGAAACACAAATAGACGAGACGATGTGTTTGCCAGCTGCACGGCGTATGGACCTGAAAACTCAACATCCCTGTACAAGAACGCGGGGTAAACCATGCGGGTTGACAGGGGTGCATCATCATTGTTTCGGGTCACGATTTTTAAAGTTTTGAGGACAATGAGAATCGATTAATCCTTGATATTATATAAGAATCGATCCAATTCATCACTGGATTAATTTTCAAGGGGGGAGAATCGAATGATTGTTTTGTGGTAATCGAGATAATCGATTCTTTCGTGATTTTCGTGTTAAGAACAGTGGCAGGAATCGATTCACATTTGAAGTTACGCAAAAGAATCGATTATAATCCGTAACTCAATAATAATCGTGACGTCGTCGTGGAGAACATCAAAGACAATCAGCTGCCGCTAACACATCCTAAATAAATCCGTCTCTGCACAGAATGCTGACACGACGCACAACCCACCAGCCCAGCTATGGCTTATGGACGAAACACTTGGATTAATCGATTAATCTATTTCACATCGGGCGATTTATTTCGGCTCACGATACGTGAGTCCAATGGCCAAATAAAAAATGAGGAATCGATCCACGCTCCAAAGTGATCAGAATCGCCGGCAGTGGAGGAGGAGGGAGGGGGGGGAAAGGAATCGTCACCCGGTAACCTCTCAGCGAGGAATCGATGTGTAGGTAATCGTCTTGAAGTAATCGCTCTCTTTAACGGGAATCGATCCGCGATGTCCGTCGACTTCACGAACGAAGTGGAGGTCCGCGAGTTCCTCAGCGGAATCCGCACCGAGTACAGCTACCAGTGTCTGCGGGAGCGAGAACCAGAGGGTACCACACTCACACGGGGACCACACTCACACGGCTACCAGTGTCTGCGGGAGCGAGAACCAGAGGGTACCACACTCACACGGGGACCACACTCACACGGCTGGCTACCAGTGTCTGCGGGAGCGAGAACCAGAGGGTACCACACTCACACGGGGACCACACTCACACGGCTACCAGTGTCTACGGGAGCGAGAACCAGAGGGTACTCACACGGCTACCAGTGTCTACGGGAGCGAGAACCAGGGGGTACGGGTCCCCCACTCACACGGGTACCATGACACGGGGACCATGACACGGGAACCATGACACGGATATCAGTGTCTATGGGAGCGAGAACCAGGGGGTGCGGGTCCCCCACTCACACGGGTACCATGACACAGGTACCAGTGTGTACGGGAGCGAGAACCAGAGGGTACGACTACTCCACTCACACGGGTACCATCACACGGGTACCATGACACCCTTCTAATAGGAACCAGAGGTCACGAATCCCCTTCTCAAACCTTTACGCTTCAAACCAACTCCACCCCTCTATCTAAAACGAACACGACATGTCCCGATAACACGAACACTGTCCCGAACGCTATTCCTCGTGTAGACACTCGCCACGGCCTAATGTCTCTCGATAATACAGACATTAGCCCTGACGCTACGACTAGCCTGGACACGCTAGTGGACTGTCACATCTATTAAAGGGTGATGATGGGCTCTAGATTTGAAGCTTTCGTGACTGCAAGGATTCATACTTTTAGGTTTTTTCGGTAAAGTCACGTAGGTAAAATAAATAATAGAAATAATAATATAAAAACATTTTTTTATTTCTATTATTTAATAGAAATAATATAAATAAAATTACTTTATTTCGAATATTTTTAATATTTATTTTTATTATAAACAAATAGTAAAATTTATATAAATAATAATATAAATAACAGTATTTTATTTCTATTTTTGTATTTACCTACGTGACTATACCGAAAAAACCCAAGAGTATGGTGATGATGGGCTTTGTTCAGTGCAGTCCTCGGTGGCTGGGCAGAGGAATCAAACTCGACACAAGTTGATCCAACCACGACTGGGAAAGCCACGTGACACCGCCGTGTTGCTGTCTCAATGTCATCGGCATGGCCCATTGTGCACAGTTCGTCTCGAAAGCGAAACATCACAAGTTTAAATCTCAGGGGTTTGACTGACCATCATCATCATCCCTCGTCATCATCAATCATGGTCTGCTGCTTGGGTGGTCTCTTCAAGCCATCACTCTCATCACTGGGTCCCTTCACTCATTTCGTGAACTTGTTGAGCGTCACTTTTGTTTTGCTTGTTATCTTGCGTCCCACTTTTTAGCTTTGTTCAGGTATCCCTACACATTTCCTGTAGTTCATTGTCATTGGATGCTATAATGATGATGTCACACGCGAATCTGAGATGGTTAATATTTTATCCATTTATTATTGTGCCTTTGTTTCTCCAATCCAATGTTCGGATAATATTTCTAACATTGCCGTGAACAATTTTTGTACAAAATCATGTCTCCTTGGCTGACTTCTCTGGTAATGTTTTATTACGTAATACAATCTCACTGTTGTACCACTTTGTGGGAAGTAATTAGTGTTTGTCCAACTGTGAGTGTGCCAAATATATGCAGAATTGAATTCACTGCCTCAGGTTCCCAATTGCAGATAAGTGCTGTCCATTGCTTTTTTGAAAAAAGGAACACTTTGGCTTTGAAAAGAAGTCAGATAATGGCTCGGTGGTGGATTATGAACCCCCTGAGACAGCTTTTGTGAGACACACCCTTAAAGGACTCGCACTGTCTCCCACCCACAGGCTGCCATCGTCTGGCTGAGTTCCTACACAGCGTCGAGCGAGACTTTCCAGCGGCAGCCAAACTCCTGCAGCTGAATTGTGAGAAGAATGGCTTCACGAAGAGCTGTGCCAAGCTGGGGACGTACCACGCGCTGGGCAGGGGTGAGCACGCCCACACCACCTACAGCACGAACTCCTAAACAACACAAACACTACAGCAATTCCTACAATCTAACACTACCGCCACTTAGAACACTATACCACCTACAACATTAATACTGCTACCACCTACAACACTAATACTGCTACTACTACTGTCAAAATGACAGACCTCATATGGCCGCGGACCATGTAAAACAAATCATTGGCCAGGTAAGGCTCGTGCACCGTGAATTCCCCACCCCTGGTGTATAGGGCAGTAGGCTCATGGTTCCTGGCCGATCGGTGCCTGGCGTGTGACCCGTCTCCAGGAGGAGTGGTGGTGGATTTGGCTCGTGCTGTTGAGCTCTTCTCGAGGTCTTGCCTGGGGGCGGTGACCCCCGACCCGGCATCTCCAGCCTCCGGTGCCGCGTCCCCAGGCTCCGTTGCCGCGTCCCCAGGCTCCGTTGCCGCGTCCCCAGCCTCCACCACTTTCACCCCGTCCCCTGAGGGCTGCAACAACCTTGGCGAGATGGCCAGGCAAGGCAGAGGCTTCCCTGGCGGGCAGGCCCGTCCGGAGGTGGCTCGCCGCGCGTTTGAGTTGGCGTGTGCAGGTGAGGTCGCCTCCAGCTGCCTCCAGCTCAGCGTCATGCTCATGCAGGCGGAGAGCAGGTGAGACGGAGGCCTTGGTCAACTGACAATACATTACATGTTATGTAAGCAGACATTCATATTTCTGTGTGTGAATATGTGGGTCCCTGTATTTGATACGTGAGTATTTATGTGTCGGTGAGAGCTTACGGATCTTTGTGCGAGTCTTTAAATCTATGTTAGTCGATAAGTATTTGTGTGAGTGTATGTGTCCCTATGAGGTTATGAAGTTTTCTATGTCAGTAAATTGCTAATGGGTCTGTGCTTATAATTTTGTCGGTGATGACGATGTTGATGTATCCACGCTGTTTGCAGGGACATGCCGCGCGCCTTGGTCTATGCGGAGCGCGCCTGCCACCTGGGTCACCCGTGGGGCTGCATTAACGCCGGGCGGATGCTTCACCTGGGGGATGGAGTCAAACCCGACCCTGAGAGGGCACGGGAGCTCAGGGAGCGAGCCACGCTGCTCGCCCGGGCAGCACACTGAGGACTTACGCTTACGAGACAAGAGATATGATAAAATAATGGACACTTGAGCTTTCGCCTTCCATCTCACTGACCAGGATTGGCACTAGCAAGGGAAACGCAGTACACGTGGGCACTCAATACACAACACCGATACGCCACGACATGGTACGTGATGGTACACGATACTCCACACTCCACAAATATGAACCCGTGTGATATGCATGTACCCATGTGATGCACATGAAACTATGAATCATGTGTATCACGTGTCCAGCTTGAATACAGAACACACGGCACTTGGTGGTCTCAGACTTACTCAGGCTGACAGATTTATCTGACAGAATCCAAAATTTGGGACCAAGAGGAAGATCTAGTGCCAGGCGGTGGTGATGATGAGACTGTATGAGCGGTCCCTGAAGGATTGCGTTAACTGTGACAAGAGGAAGACCTAAAGCCAGATGAGATGCTGCACCCTGCATTGGATCTGGCAGAAGCAGGGAAGCAATGCTGATGTTTGGTGACCTCTGCACGGACGGACTGGTCTTTATAGTATATGTTTTGAAGGGATTATTATTCTTGGGTCTTTCGGTAAAGTCACGTAGATAGGTTCAAAGAAAATAACAAAAAACTACGACGTTTCGATCGCAATGCAAGCAATCGTCATCAGGATGTACCCATGTGATGCACAGGAAACTATAGTAATCGTCATCAGGAGATGACGATTGTGTTACAATCGAAACGGTAGTTTTTTGTTATTTTTGTTTTCTTTGAACCTATCTATATGACTTTACTGAAAGACCCAATAATATGAATTCCTGCAGTCACGAAAGCTTTAAGTCTGATTATTGTTGGGAATTTTGTCTGGAGAAATAAAGAACACGTGATTGTTCTCTCAGCACGCGTTTTTGGTTATGTGTTAAAGTGCATTAGTGGGATTTGGTCGCAGACAGGGGGCCAGTGCTGTGAGCCAGCCCCTGTTCAAAAAAGATGAAACCCCCAAAAAATCAGCTCGTGTAGCTACACTGCTAGCTTGTGCGTTTCCTGGGAAATCTGTCATGAGTGAATCTTCATGAGAAAACTATTTTAAGTTTCAGTCAAGAGTTCCATGAGAATATGCTGAATCACTCCACTTTTTAACACAACATCCTTGTAAGATCTGTTTGTCGTGTGCTTTCATTTAATGCTAACACGGCCGTTATGGCTAAGTCATCCTCGGGGAGGCTCAGGTTAGTCACCAATTCTATTTGCCCCTTTCATAGCCAGGAATCAAACCCCGGTATTGTATGGTGTATTGTTCAATGCGGTCTGCGATCAAATCACCTGGAATGCATCCAGTCGCAAAAAATAATCAGACTGGAGCCTGGATAGTGCTTGGAATGGCAACCACGACGAGCACACAGGTTGTCATTGGGCCGCAGGGTTCCATAGTGAGCAGACGGGTCGTGCAGCAACATCGATTGTTGGGCTCCCACATGGTGAAGTATGGTAAAAAAACAACCTCCATGACCCACATCGTGTGCGGAGGCCCACATCAGCAGTGGATTGAAAAAGGGCCATACACGTATAGAGTTCAATGAAGCAATTCACTCTCCGTTCCCCTCGCTCGCACACAGTTGCCAAAGACTGAGAACAGCCAACCCCTTGATGTGAACGCTTTTTTTTTTATTGAAAGCCGTAAACGAGCATCAATCACTGGCACTGCATACAGATGGAACAGTCAATCCGAACCGACGACACGATCACAAGATCCACCCACCAGCACAGCCACGATGATGGGGAGAGGAACTGGGGGACAGACCCAGGAAATGTTGTTCAAGGTGGAGAATCTGAGACTCGAGGTCACATTGGATTTCCATATCCTTGATACTTTTAAAAAGAGACTTGCAGTCTCGGTGGGTACTTACGCCCATTAAGCAACGCGGCATATAATCCGAAAAAACACGTCTGGAGGGCTAGACAGCACGTCCACGAAGACCCACGCATTTGAATGTTCTCGCCTGGTTAAATAAATGGAACTGAACGTAACTAGATCCAGGAATCTCAATGGACTCTCCTGGTTAGATAGATGGTGAATAAAAAAAAACTGTTTTGGGTGTACAGGGGATGGTCCCACGCAGGTGGATTGGATTGCAAGGTTCCATTGAATGGCCACTAAAGTCACGCCAGACCTCGGGCCCCTTCATTTGTTTCTGTGGGGGCGTTTGAACTCGGTCTACACTGACCATCTCAGAGACCGATCGAACGAAAGGCAAAAATACGAGCTGTTTGAGCCTGATAATATCGGTGTGGAGCGATTGAGGAATGTTCGAGCAAATGGTGCACAGTTCATGCATCTGCTATTGCTGTCTGGACGGATGGTTCCTGACTGTTGCCATGCTATGTTTACCTGGGCAGAAGTCTCGATGGGCTGTCCCTCTGTCCTGGTTACATACAGGCAGGAGTCACAATTGACTGTCTCTCCTGGTCAAATAGACATCTCAATTGGCCCCCTGTCCTGGTTACATAGGGGACATCAATCCCAGTAGGTTGTCTCGTGCTTTTGCCCGGCTCACTATCCAAAATGAATCTCAGTGGGCTGTCTCGCTTTCGCTCGGTTACATAGAGGGCACTGACATAGATCAATAAGTGCCCGTTCGTTGACCTTCCGTGTCTCGATTTACCTACCATCGTATCAATATCAGATGGACATTCCACTGACACAACTACTAAACACGCACACACGCACATGCACACACACACGAATGTTCTAAAAGCGGCCACAATGAAGCCTGCACACTTGGCACGCGCGTATTACAGCCGTGTACTTGATTGTGTACGCACAGACGCACGCACACACACACACACGCAGACGCGCACACGCGGAGTTAGGCACATGGTCCAAAGTGGTAACGACTTTGCACACAAATATCTCCGAAAACCCGACGCGAATCGTAATAGTAGAACCCGCCAAGGGCTGCCGCCCGTAGAGAAATCAGTCCCAGGGCTGACTTTGATCCGGGTCTGTCGGGGTCAGTGACCCAGACAATAACTCCTCAGTTGGCACACCACATCCAGTATACGACTTATCTTTAACTGCGGCTAATAGCCACGTGCCACCTACTTTAGTCGACAAGCAGCCCAGAAAAAAACATTCGAATACAACATTAAAAAGTTCAAACATGTGCCTCTTCAGCGTAATCTTTACTCTTAGTTTTTGTTTTACCCTTTGAATAGCCACTTGCGTGGTTTGACACCGTTGTCGTAAACACCCATATTCTAGGATATATAACTTAAATACAAAGGTGGCAGTTGAACTTAGCAGGCTTTTACCTGGAGTGAGTTGGGGGAAGGGCGTGTGTGTGTGGAGGGTAATGGGCTCTGTGAAAACAATGGTCAATTAGATTTGTGCAGCTCTTATTTAGTTTCAGTATTGCCACTTGTTATTGTTTTTTTTATGTTCCAGCTACACAAAGGTGAATGTACACATTTCTGGGGAAGGAACTTGCCTAACAAGGCATTTCACAATGTCCACTTCAGAATCTAGTGATAGGTTAACCACAACGCCAACTCCACACCACAGTTTTTGCGACAATCGCAGTGTGCGCAATCATGGCATTGCAAACACTGTCAACAACCTCAGGGGAGTGGTTCGAACAACAACAAAAACATGATTCATAAAGGTTTTTTGGGGGTTAGATCGCGTAAGTATAAATGTGTATACCGGCCATCACCCGACATAGCCAACCAGTAAAGCTTGTCATGTATTCAAAACGTGCCAATTGGTTACTCCTTGAACCCACCCGGTGTGTAGGAGAGGATATCCACAACATTTAGAATTTGAGTACGACGTTTTGCTGGTAATTACATCCAGAATCAACGGACGATTTTTTTACCAGAATTGTGATGAGATCTACCTGCTTCAGGTATTACATAGAGCAAGATGTGTTAACGACACATTAATACTGACGAGATCTAACCCAAAAAAAACTTTCTTATGAATAATATTTGTCGCGAAAGCCTATGTGTCAAAAACACATGAACTGTAACATTAACTCCTGTTGTCCAATAGAAATAACCAATAACGGGGCTGCAGGGTTAGCGCAGTGGTGATCGCCTGTCCCTCGCAGCATGAAGGCCTGGCTTTGATTCTCGACTCGGGCGCCTTTTGGTGTGGAGTTTGTGTGTCCTGCACGTGTTCTACCGTGGGGTTTCTCCCACAGGTGAAACAAAAACCGTACATTGTAACTGATATTGGCCCAACATCCCCTTGCTAAAAATAAATTACCTGCAAATGGATTGAAAACTTGGCAGGGCCCTGCAGAAAAACGAGTTTTGTAACTCAGTGAGGCTTTCCTGGGTAAACAATTGTATATAAATACCAGATAATGCGATGTCGTTATCCACGCGTGTTACGCCTATAATCGTGTGTATTAACAGATAATAAAAGAGGATTGATCCACATATACCAGGATAATCGTGGATCGGCCTGGCCCTGCGGATGAATTTGGTTGTGGATAAATAGGCTGCTATTAAGAGGCGTTTCACAGTTTGCTAGTACTGTACTGTAATACACAAATTAGTTTATCTTATCAAATATGCAATGAAAAATCTCAAGCCCGCTGCGCATTGGGGGAGGGGGGGGAGTAAAACAGTGATGAATATATGCAGCATTGTGTTATTTTATAAAATATGCATACAATATTCCTTAACAGGCAATGAGTGTTTTAAATTCTCCCGCCCTCAAAACACTCATCACAAATTCACACTGATGCACAACTACCGTCGTCATCATCATGATCATCCAGCCGTGGTCAATCTGCTGTTGAATTAAGGATTCCCGAAGCCAATGCCCTCTGTAATGGCCCTGCAATGTAACTGTCCATCGAACACAGACGTGGCCAACCTGTAACAGAGTTCTGCAAAGAGCCAAGTGTTTTTAAACATATCGTACAACGTATACAACTTTCATTCGTGATTCTTTGCTACTGTCATAGTACGCTCGACGTTTTACCCCTTCGATAGAGCCGCATGTAGTGGAGTAAAGATCCGCACGCGGCTCGGGAGACGCCAGTTGGCCACCGCTGAATCCAGCACCACCTGCACACGAGCCGATCTCTTTGCTCGATCTCGTCTGTGGACGCGCCCTTGGGCATTTCCTCCTCTTGGCTGTCACTCTGTCACTCTTTCTCGACCACCGGCTATCACCCCCTTCTAGCCATGTATCCTGCCCAAGCCCAGTTGACTTGTCTTAACAGTCACTATGGTTGCGAGAAAATGCTCGTCTGAGGGAATTGTTACAAAGTGAAAACACCTCGATGAAAGCCTCCCTTTATTTTTTGCCTCTAAATTTCCCTGAAAAGCAAAATCGAATCTTTGCATCTGTGGGTATAAACTGTTTCGTCTGGAAACATTTGTTTGGTAGAATTATGAAGTAGCCTGCGTTCAGAGATTTGGAAAATGTCTGAACCAAGTTTTGTTCATTAGCACTGCCAGGCTCAAGCTTTGAGACTCGGTTTATTTTTATGGGGGGTGGGCGGTGGGGGGACAGCCAAATCAACTGGAAACTGATGTCTGGAAATAAACTTGAGAGCTCGAATAAGGGTGGCTAAAGGAAGCTTTCGCCTGGCATTGGCACTGAACACTGACACTACGTTAGTCTTCTTCTTAGCTTCTCAAGTTAACAGTTAACATTGGAATACATTTTACCTTAGTCTGGCTCTGTTAGCCTTCGGCATGCATATTAAAATCTAAGAATACTTTAATCGGGCTCTGTAAGCCTCAAGAGTTGACATTTAACCATAAGAGCCCTATAGTTTGGCTCTGAAGTTTGAAACATTAACACTGAACCCTAGGAATACAATGGGTACCTAAGTCTGGCTCTTCGTGCCTCACATTTACACTGAATGTTATATATCCTAAGGATGCCTATGGTTCTCTGAATCTAGGAAATCAATACTGGCTCATAAGAATCCTAAAGGAGCCGTTGACTCTCTGAGCTTCAGATGTTAACACTGAACTCTTAAGAATACTCATGGTCAGCTCATCTGGCTCTATGAGCCTTAGGCATTAACACTAAATCCTAATCCTCAGGTGCCTTAGTCTGGCTCTGTGAACTTCAGGCACTGATGAAAACTGGACCCCTTAGCCGGACTAAGGATGCCAAAATCTGGCTTTGTGAGTAACAAAACTCGCAGGGAGGTGGCAGGAAGTTGCAATATTCCCATAGACCACAGTTCGTGGGTGAACCACATGTTGTGAAATATAAGACAACACAATACGGGCCATTTAAAGGTGACCCTCGTACTAGAATTGGGACATTTCCATACCAAATATATTGGCAATAAATTGTCTTTCCCTGCAACACGTGCACTAGACATCACGCGTGAATATATCTCTCGTGATTGGTTAAAATAAAAGTCACAGATTTGGGTGACAGCTCTGGAATTGGGTGCCTCGAGGTCACATCATTTTTGTATGGAGCATGTTATTAGCTGCCAAAGTGGGTTTGCTAATTATATCATAGACTGAAAGATTAGTTGGGTCAATGACTGAAGTGTGATTATGTTCGTTCGGGAATAATCTCTAGTCATACTTATGCTTAAGTGTGACATTCTGTGGAATGTTAACCCAACAGCAAAACCTCGCAGTGTCTTTCAGAAGGATCCTACTGGGGATGTTTGCCAAATTATTCTACTTTCTCAACTGCCCAGCCACCTTAACTTTCAAGCTACATGTCCAATTTTTTATTATAAATATATATTTTTTACCAAATAGACATAATCCAACCTGCAGGTCCAGTAGACTGTTGTGACGTTCTTTCCTGTCCAAATACTACCATAACACGAGCCCTACTATCCCCATCTCGGAGCCAACCCAAACACGAGCTCTGCCTCAAACCCACCAGCCAACCAGAGCCGATTCCTGCCACTGACCCTCGCCTTAAGCACACTATTCAACCACGTATGTATGTTGCAACTTCTTTCGCACCATACGTTACCGACCGTGCTAATCACTAGCCCTGCTCCGAACAACACGAGCTATCCAAACACGAGCTCGACCCCAAAAAACCCTCTGGCACTCCCATTAATACGACCCCTAAGGTGTCCAGGAGATGGCAGTGGCGAGCACTCCGCCTCTTCCTCCCGCATTCTCCCCCATATTAAGCAACTCAGAAATTGCCAAACATCCCAAGGCAAAGACCCTCCATCTCAAAAGTTTTGAGACTCACTGAGACTTTCCTGGGAAAGTAACTGGCGTTACTAATACTGTATTGTTACTTCGATACACTTTAGCTGGCCAAGCATGAGCTGTACCCCCAAAAAGCTACCCCAGTAGCCCCAACCATGCCTGTACCTTAACCCTAACCCTAGCCAAACCTATGGCTCATGGGGTCTAGCCGTATTTTCACTGCGAGTGTTCACGATTTAGGGGTTTGCAACGTGACGGTTTCCGGGTAGGGCGGGGGTGGGGGCGTAGGGTGGATTGGATGGCAGTGCTCCAGATAACCCGGGTACTGGGAATTTTACGGATCAAAAATACTAATGACGGCATTTAAGTACAATAGGCTGAGCAAATGTTGCCGTACAGCTGAAATTCGATTGGCGGCAAAAAAAAACCGATGCGAGTAAGTGAAGGAGCAGTCACATGACCATCGTGGCCTGTGCAGGGGTGTTCAGTAATAATAATTCTAATTTATAATGCCGCATTCCATCCTAGGATTCCAATGCGCAATGCATGGAAAACAGGAAACAAAAACAGAACCTCTTTAGGGAAGGTCTCTTTAAAGAGATGGGTTTTCAACGCAGGTGTCAAAGCAGTCATGGGTACCGCTAAACTACACTGTGTCGCGTTCAGTCTGTTGGAATTTCGTTTTTTGAAAGATCCTCATTGAGAAACCTGGAGTTTGTAAGAGCAATGTTTCGTATAAAGGTGTCGGGGTTCTTGTGCAGTCCTTCATCAGTAACATTGCGGTTAAGGCTGTAGTTACTAATGCCTAAACGATATGGAGCGTTAATATTGTACAATGCGCATGAGAATTACTAATGGCTTCAGGTTCACCAGCATTCATTCAAGCAAGCCGGACACTGCTGATGAGACACCGTGTCAAAACCCATCCAAGAGTTTGCTTGTGTTGAACAAATGCTGCTGAAATGATTCGCTCCCAGAATGCCGTGTGGCTGATGTGATGTGTAAAAAATACTTTTATCTTTTTACGTCGCCAGATATGTGAATGGGGGGGGGGGGTACTGTATTCTCCAATTATGTATGTTGTTACTTATCTTCCCCATTATTTATCACACATGTCAAAATTGAAGGGCAAATTATTCTGAAGTGTTTCTACAATTTTGATGATGTTCGTTGCTGACCGCTTGACGTGTTGGGGCCTCTGGGCCTGTGCTCAACAACTGTGTTAATAAAAAAAAAAGAGATACACAACCCCTTATCTGGAGCACTGTGGTGGAGATCGACGAGATGGTGGGAGGTGTAGACATGTGGAGATGGAGGGAAGGGGCAGTATGAGCAGAGAGGATGGGGTCACAGGGGTCATGGAGATTCTACTCGGGCCCACTCCCGTCTTGCTCAGGTCTGGTCCCAGCTCGGCCGAGTTTCAAACGCTTGTCGTGTCAGGGTTCACTGTGGCTTGGGCCCAGCAAGGGGGACCCGTGGACGGGGGGTCTCTGGAGGGACGGCCCTAGAAGTGGGGAACCTTTGATGGGGTGACTCAAGAGGGACGGCTTTGGGAGGGGGGACCCCTGCATGGGGGTACTGGGGAGGGAAGGCTTTGGGAGGGGGGACCCCTGTGTGGGTGCAATGTGAAGGGATGGCTGTGGGAGGGGAGACCCCTGAATTGGGGTACTATGAAGGGATGGCTGTGGGAGGGGGGACCCCTGTATTGGGGTGTTAAGTGATGGCCCTGGGAGGGGAGACCCCTTGAGAGAGGGGTTTTGGAGGGATGGTCCAGGGAGTGGGGACCCCTGAATTTGGGGGCTGTTGAGGGACGGCCCAGGGAGAGGGGACCCCTGGACAGGGGGGCTCTGGACGGACGACCCTGGCAGGGTTCTCAGCGCCTCGGGGCGCGACTCGGAGGTGAGGGGGGTCTCGCAGGTCAGGTGCTGCGTGGTGGGCGACGACACGTTCCCCCGGGCGTGCGGTGCGGGCGACAGGTCGGCGTAGGCCCCGAGCGCTGGGCGGTCCGGCTCATCCTTTCCTGGGGAGGGTCCCAAACACACGCGGCCTATTACACGGAGCTATCACCGGCGGGGCCACCACACAAGTACCAATTTTTCCATCTCCCCCCATCACTCCCCGCTTGGGTCTTAAGTGGTGAATTCGATTTCGAGATTTCCCAGGACAAATTGAAGACGATCCTTGGAGAGAGAGAGAAAACAGGACAGGTGGCAACTACAGTGCCCTTGGGGTTCGAACGAGGTAGAGGAAGAGGAAGAAGAGGAAGAGGAGGAGGGCGGCACCTAGTGGCTGCAGGCGCAGTCCCGAGGGGAGGCGCTGCGCAGGCTTGGTGAAGAGGGAGAAGTAGCAGAGCACGAAGGCGCAGAGCACGAACGCGATGAGGATGAGTCCGGCGATGCCGAGTCCCACGAGGGCGCCCACGCTGCACGCCGCGGGACACACACAAAGACAACAACAACAACAAGATCCCCCGGATAGCCTTTGACAGACTGTTGGGCCAAGTGCTGTTCGCGAGCACCCGTTCAGGCCGGCACGGCACGCGAGGGGGTGGGGTGTCCCGCACCACGCCCGCCCCATGTTTATTTCGCCCCGTGCTGATGTTTACACGGAGGCCCAGCACCGGTTCAGGTGTTCGTCACCGGTGTTGGCTGTGAGTGGGATTTGAACTCAGGTCGCCGGGTTCGGAGTGCAACAGCATGAAGGCCCTGATGGAGCCACTTCCACCACCCCCCCCCCCCCCACCATTGCTCATCTCTTCTGACCCTCTTTGCCTTTTATTTCTCATTCGTCCTCTTCTCTCTTCGCTTTCCTGTTCCTCTTTCTTGTTTTCCATTAAAGGAGTAACACTTCGTGGGGACGTGAACACCGGTTGTCCTATGGATATACACGCCCCCGTCACAGAAATGTGGAATGTCCGTCACTGGCTCAGGGCTGCAAACAAGAGATGAGCACCAATGCAGCAATGCTCACTGAAGCAGGAAATCACGCTGAATATTTTGACACGCACACACATACCGCACCTCCGATTAGCACGGTTGGCTACGTACGGCACGAAAGAAGTTCAACACGCATATACACACGAGGCAAGTCAGAAGTCGCAAATAACTCGTGTGATTCGATTAAATATTCTTGGTTCTTTCGGTAAAGTCACGTAGAAGGGAAATAATAAAATAAAAAAATTTCAACTATTAAATTCTCACGACGTTTCGATTGCAACACAAGCAATCATCATCAGGTGTGAAAACCACAACAAGTTTTTTTTTTAAGTGGCGTTTTTTTTCTAAATTTTCTTGCTGTGGTTTTCATACCTGATGATGATTGCTTGTATTGCAATCGAAACGTCGTGAGAATTTTATTGTTTTATTTTAATTATTTATAATTTCCCTTCTCCGTGACTTTACCGAAAGAACCAAGAATATGAATCCCTGCAGTCACGAAAGCTTTAAATCGAAATTCGATTAAATATCACGATTCGGGCTCATGATATTTCATTTCGCCCCGTTGTGGTGTGTATATAAAATCTTGTGACTGCAGGTTTTATGCAAACCCACTACAAAGTAGAAAATAATCGCATCTTACGACATATTATTTGATGTGCACATATCGCGAGCGTAAGTGTCCATTCTAAACGACGTATCTGTACTTGAGTGATACATTCTTATCCACGGATACAAATCCACCGACTTTTCCTTTTCGTGATTTTATTGATTTAGACTGGAAAAATCCGATGAGCTATGAAGCTCCTGTTCATAGGCGTCTAGGGGCGGGTCAGCAAGTTACACAGAGCGGCTGAGCCCTGTACAATACAGTGCAGGGGATACACAAATCAATCTCTGAAACCAAGGGGCCGTCCATAAATTACGTCACGCACCTGGGGGGGAGGGTCAGACATTTGTGACGATGTGTGACGATGGCGGGGGGGGGGGGAGAAATGTGACGTCACATCAAAATGCGCAACTTTAAATAAATATAGACAACACGTTCTACTTAATTAAATCGACTTTTTAATAAATGTTTTCTCCTACAACATCAGAGTGCAGCGCCACATTAAATACGCACTACAATGACAACAGTTTAAAGCGATTTGAAGCATGTTTTATTTGGGGGGGGGGGCAGAGCTTTGTGACGTCATATTTGAGGGGGGGGGGTCTGACTTTTTGTGACGCCGCGTGACGAAGGGGGGGGGGGTCCAAAATCGTCCAAAATCGCGTGACGTCATTCATGGACGACTCCTATGACACGGTAGTTGTGTTTTAAGGTCTCACGCTAAAGCTTAAAGATCCTTAACTGCCGAGTCACCTCCCAGCCGGCGATAGCCATGCTGAGCGAGCGAATGGAAATCCCTGCCGCATTCACAGGCACAGCAACGACCTCCCTCCCCTCAAAGATCCGTTGCCACACCGTGGCTCTTCACCTCGCGAGAACAACGACATCCCTGCTGCTGCTACACTACCCACAACATCATCCGTGTGGCTGTCATCGCTACTGATAGCTCCGGTCTTATCTCCCCCCGACCCCCCCCCCGACAATTAGGACAGACCCTAACGCCAGATCTTCAGATCCTTGGGAAGAAACTTCAAAGGGCTGGCGCCTTGAAAGTGAAACATGAGCAAAGCGGCCGTGTCTGCAGTACCGGCCCCAACAGCTCGCTGGCGATTATTAAATGCAAAATGAATCTGGAAGCCCTCCAGCAGAGGTCGCAACCGGGTACCCGATACCCGTACCCGGCTGATTACGGGTACCCGTTTGCGACCCTGGTGCGGCCGGGACGGGTACGGGTAGGCCGTGAGTCACTGGTGAGTAGCCGTTTGTCACTCATTTCCCAACGTCTTGTCTCTTCTCACAATTCAAGTTCCTAGAATCAACCCACCCGCGCCTGCAACATGGCTTCATCCCAGAGGTCGCAATCGGGTACCCGTACCCTACCCGATACCCGGCCGGGTACGGGTAGCCGGGTATCGGGTAGGGTACGGGTACCCGTTTTCGACCCTGGTGCGGCCATGGTCGCAACAGCTCATATCGTTGGGGAAATGATGCCTCCTGCTGGTGGCACAAAGCCTGGTCCCCTTGACATGTCCACATCGAGACCCTGACATTGCTAGACGGACCTTGCAAATCCGTCGCCTGTGGCGTCACTCGGGGGGTGCGCACCGCACCGGGTGACACCATCAGAGGGGGTGACATCAAAACGACAAAGTGTTTCAGCAGACATTTCTTATTTTTAATGAAAATATCTCTGTAGTTAGTTATAACAACAAAAACATTTTTCGTAAGCCCAGCTGACATGTACTGTATCAATATACCTACAAGGCTAAAACTCGATGCTAATTTACTTTTTGAACCTTCTATTGCGCTCCGGTCACAGCTGTCATTATTACCCAATTACAATGACGCTTCTAATCACGTGGTTTCGTCCGCACGCGCTACAAGCACGCGCTGTTGTTTTCGTCGCTGGTGGTGTTTTATAGTCGCTGATTTTGACAAATTTTCTGGTGTTTTAGCTACAATATTGTGGTAATTAGTATTTGTGAACCTATATCAATAACTTTTTTGAGAATGAAGTAGTAATTAAAGGAAAAGGAGAAAAATTAAAACGGCTTCCGCTGAGTTACTAATAATGTTGTAACTAATAATGTTGTAATTCAATGTAGAAAGATTTTACAAAAAACTCCTTACATTTTTTTTACGGTTTTATTAACAACTTAGTTTAATTCACGGTCGAGAAGTTCGTCAATGGCGCCTGAGACGACACGTGGCGCCTGAGACGACACGTGGCGCCTGCTTCTTGGGCGAAGCGATTCGAGAGTTTAGGGACCGCGGCGTTTTTTACCCACACAAATATTTTTCAAATAATATGGCGTCCATACAAAATGTTAATTGCTTTAAAGTAGCGAATTAATTGATTAATTGATACCTTTTTGATAGAGGCATGCATTGTCACCGGATCTGAGTGCGTGTGCACAATTTGGAATTGATCGGACAACAGGAATTAGACTAACTTTTGATTACAAAGTAAAACCGTTGAAAAATGTTGTTAGTATTCATATAATCTAAGAAATATTACATTTAAGCATACTCTTTGGTTCATTCGGTAAAGTTACGTAGGTAGAAAAATAAAATAAAACAAAAAAATATATATCACGACGTTTCGATCACAACACAAGCGGTCGTCCTCAGGCGGAAAAAAATAATCCAGCAGTGGAACTGCTGAACCAGCGAGAGAGCTGTTACAACAAGAGGCTATTCATGTGGCGATGGGCAAGCAAGCGGGATCTGAGCTGGAAAGTAATTTCATCCCCGGACGCAAGCACGTGATGTTTCTTTCTGGGAGATACCAGTTCCAGATCATTTTCGGGTTGAAATCAAAAGGGCAAGTGCTTCTTTCCAGAACAAAGATGGACCTTCCAGTGTTGCAGCAAGACAAGATGCACAAGCAAAGGGAGATGTGCGCCAGCTTTCAAAAGAGTGGCTTTACAAGGTGATGCCAAATGGCGATAAAATTCTGCGGTCATGGATAGTTTACTCACTTGTCAGCATGAATTTATACTGTTTATACTGCCGACTGTTTGCCGTCAGTGCTACAGATACGATATCCAAATTTGTAACTGGGTTTCAGAAGAGGTGGAAACTGAGCCCGAAAGTGCATAACCATGAGACATCCTAAGAGCACCCACGTTTCCTTGAACAGTGGAAAACTTTGGTAGGAGGATTGAGGCTGCACAAAACAATTGACGCCGAAACTATTGCTTTGATGGAAATGGAGATGAAAAAGTGGAGGGACATCTTGCACAGATTGCTTGATATCACATTGTTTCTTGCCAAGCAGAATCTGGAATTCCGTGGCCACAAGGAAGATGAATGTTCATTGAATAAAGGGAACTTTCTTGAGATGGTTGAGATGCTTTCAAAATATGATCCAGTGCTGAAAGAGCACCTAATGAGATTAAAGCGGAGCACATGTAAACGTAAAGTATCGGTCTCTTATCTTGCACCAAAAACTCACAATCAGTTTATAAGTGCCCTGGCAAATCATGTCAAGAAGCTCGTCATGGACATAAAGTCTGCGAAGTACCTTGGGATCATGTTCGACAGCACACCTGACATATCACATACTGACCAGATGTCCGAAGTGATCAGATATGTAAAAATCAACAATAGGAAAGTTGAAGTGAAGGAAGTATTTCTAGGATGTTTCCCTTGAAAGGGGAAAAAAGCTGCTGACCTCAGTTCTGAAATTCTTAAAAAACTTGAAGGTGATGGACTGGACATAATGATGTGCCGCGCTCAAGATTACGATAATGCTGCCACTACCGCTGGAATCCATGGAGGTGTATAAGCCCTTCTTCAGGGAAAGAACAAGAAAGCTATTTTAATGGATGTGTGGACCATTCGCTTAACTTGTGCGGTCAGCACTCTTTTGCT